CTTCGGTCTGAATACGCAGTGGGCCCAAGCCCACCAGAAGCCTCCAGAACCAGAAGTTTCGATTTGAAATCCGATCCATTCTTGGCAAATACGTAATTAAGCACGATATCCAATGGTAATTTTGTTTTGCAAACCACTTTTCTATCGCCTCCGTGATCTTTCACGTACTCCCACGTCATCCGCCACGCCGCCCATAATGCAGACGTGGCACATGCCTTCTGGCCTCAGCGAACAGCCCTCCGCATCTTTGATCCTTTGTACCGCCGGAACTCTTTGAATCCACCAGCTTGAGAGACAGACGGGCAATTTATTTAAGGCCGTTAAACTGCCACGTTGGCGGTAACAGTTAAGCTTTTAGAGGTCTGAGTCTCGCAGGAAAGTTTTCAGAAAAGTCGAGTTATAATTATCTTTTCTCATTATTAAGCCAATCAAAAAATGTTAATCAATTAAAAATTACAAAAGGAAACTTTATTTTTGAAAGTCAATTATTGTTTGGCCCACACTGGTGGCTATGATTGTAAAATACAAAAAGTAGAGGACGGAGGCGGCTGCTTTTAAAATTTAAAGTGCTCAATAATGCTGATAGGTCCACATTTCATAATTAGGGAATAAACTAGGGTGTTAAGTGCAAAATGGAAGCCCTAAGTACTCACAGTCACGGATCTCTCGCTATATTACAACCTTAAACCCCTCCATTTCTAGCTCGTCCTCATCTTTTCCTCAATTTCTTTGGCAATATTCAGTATCTCTCAATCGTCATCCATGGGTTTGTTTCTCTCTCTTTCTCTATCGATCTCTGTTTTCTCGATTTTAACGATTTTTTTCTGATTTTTGTGCAATTATTTTTGCAGCTGCTACTGGCAAGAAGATCAAGATCGGAATCAACGGTTAGTTTTAGGATCTGTTATTTTCTTTATGTTTTGATCTTGTTTTTTTCCTTTTGAAAATTTTCGATTGATTTTGGGGTGATTTTTTTGATCTGTTAGGGTTTGGAAGGATCGGGCGTCTCGTTGCTAGAGTTGCTCTTCAGAGAAACGATGTGGAGTTGGTTGCCGTTAATGATCCCTTCATCACCACTGATTACATGGTGAGATTCATTTAAATCTGGAGATTTGATGATTAAACATGAATTTTTTATGATTTTTAATATTAGTAAATAGTGAAGTAGATGAAGAGCTAATCTTTCTGCAAGTTTGATTTGGAGATCAGATCTTATGTGTTGGTGTGAGGTCTCAATTGATAGAATCTTATCTTTGAAATGAATTTAGTATGTTGTTGAAATTTTTATTCAAAAACATGTTTTTTTTTTACTTTATGATTTTAAGTAAGCCCAATCCAATGCAAGTTTGTCCTTTGACATAATTTATCTGTTACTTTGTGTTTCATTTATCCTCGATTTGAAACATGCCATAAATTTCAAGCTCATTAGATTTGTTGTCCTGCTTAATTCAGTAAACTATTTGTAGAAATGTGTTAAAATAGTGAAGTTAATTACGGGAAGATTATTCATTTGTGGTTATAATTTTTGCAGACCTACATGTTTAAGTACGACAGTGTCCATGGCTCATGGAAGCACCACGAAATCAAGGTGAAGGACTCTAAGACCCTTCTCTTTGGTGAGAAACAGGTTGCTGTCTTTGGTTGCAGGTATAATCATCTGAAACTTTAGCTTGTAAATTTTTTTGTTGATAATTGCTAAGAGAAAAATCTAATCAATATCTTCTTTGTGAAGGAACCCTGAGGAGATCCCTTGGGCTGAGACCGGTGCTGAGTACATTGTGGAGTCGACTGGTGTCTTTACTGACAAAGACAAGGCTGCTGCTCACCTCAAGGTTTAATTTTTAACTTTGTAGTCGTTACATTGTGTCTCTAATAGAATCGATTGCAGTCTTTTATTATGCAATGTGAACTATTTGGAAATGGGTTAAATTAATTTTGCTTGTTCTGAATTAGGCTATTTCCCATACTATGCATGTATGTAGACAAGACTTAATAGTATACATGCCCTTAGATAAGAAGGCATCCAATTTAATAATGCATCTGACACTTTTATAGCATTTTAATCGCACTGTATTGTCTATTGCAAGAATAGGTCCTGTTGATTTTGTTTTTGCCATTCCTTTTCACCTTGAGATTTTGATGCTTAGTTCTAATTAAAATTATTGTTACGATGTGACTGTTGTGTGAAATTTTTCTTATTATGTTTCTCTTACAATTTTTAAACTTTGGTGTGTGTTTTTGGTCTTATTATGGCTTTTAATCCTTGCCTTACATTTTCTCTCTAGAATTGCAGGATCGAGCGTTAAAGCTATTATTATCTACAGCTAGCCTTTGAAATTAGATCTTTCTTTTGGCACTTCTTATTTTTAACTTTCTTAAAACATCAGTGATCAGACTAAGTTTTAGTACTTGGTTTCTGTTTAGATCTCTATCAGTTTCATTTTTGATAGTTAAACTTGTATTAGCTGTTTTTGTATATCAAGTTTTTTTTGTACTTCATCTTCCAGATTTCAGTCTTTTTTTTTCTTTTCTGTTTGATAGTTCAACTTGCGTAAGCTATTATTTCTTTAAGTTTTTCGCTAAGTTGTTTGGCATTGCTCTCACCATTTTGTTTTTAGCTTTGCAAAGGCCTCCAATCCCTTGTTTGCATGTTCTCCTTAGAAATGCAAGTCTATTAATCTATCCTGATTTCGCAGACAGCCTTTAAAGAATTATTTTTTGGCACTTGCATTTTATTTCTATATATATCCTGTAAACCGGACTAGGTCTTTGATATTTTATTCATTTCTTCGGCTCTTACATTTGTACTTCTGATAGTTTACTTGCATAAGATTCCAATGGTGAGCACCAGGTTTTTTCTCTCCCTTAAACACTATCTACTTTTACAATGGCGGTGACAACTTACAGTAAAGCTTTTACATGGCAATGATATCATCACATTTTTCCACCTTAAATGCATACATACCAAATCTTTAGTATAGGTTCTGTGAGGTCCCTTTTTAGGTCAAATGTATAAATTTTCCTCTGGATGTTTCTTTATTAGAACAAAGTAGTCTAGAACTAAAATTGGTATCCTATATCATACTTGTTAAATTATTTTGTTTGTTGTGGTTTAATACAACAACAATAGAAAGCTTTTTTGTCTTGGTGTATTTGAGCATGTCTTTGTTATCAGCTGGTGGCAAATCTCGTTACTAGAGTCAAGCCGGGATGTCACTTTTCAGATTTTGCTGTAACATAAATTTCTCATAGTCTCTAGGACCTATGTGAGATTTCACAGGAAGACTGTTCTTTTTTATCACCCTTCATCTTAAAAGAAGGTTTCTGATTTGATTTTCAAAATTAACTGCAGGGTGGTGCAAAGAAAGTTATCATCTCTGCTCCAAGCAAGGATGCTCCCATGTTCGTTGTTGGTGTGAATGAGAAGTCATACAAGGCTGACATTGATATTGTCTCTAATGCTAGCTGTACCACCAACTGCTTGGCTCCTCTTGCTAAGGTAATACTTCTGGTTTAAGCACTTTTACTATATCTGATAACATGGTGACAAAAAATGGAACTTATTTCTACTTCCCTTATTTTTGTAGGTCATCAATGACAGATTTGGCATTGTTGAGGGATTGATGACCACTGTGCATTCAATCACTGGTGCTTAAACCACTGGGATATTTTAAATTATGATATTTCAATTGTGCTATTGGAATGTTGATTATCAAGTTTTTTTTACTTAAACCTGTTCGTTGTTTTGGTTTCAGCCACTCAGAAGACTGTTGATGGCCCCTCTGCCAAAGACTGGAGAGGTGGTAGAGCTGCCAGCTTTAACATCATTCCCAGCAGCACTGGAGCTGCTAAGGTATCATATTTTATCCGATTGATTCGTCATTTCACGTTTAACTGTTCTTAAATTGCTTGCATTGATGCTGTACCTACACTTTCAATCTAGTTTTATATGGTCCAACTGAGCTCATCTTTATCGGAGTTTGTAAAGAAATCCCTTGTATCTAGGGAACAAAAAACAAAGGGAACTAGGTAGGCTACAATAGAGTTTTTGCCCTCAATTGCTGAACTCCTTAGGCTAACTATTCATAGCTCAGTGTACAATTGATATTACTTATAACTTGCGCTGATTTCATTATCATATCAGTTATTTCTGATTTCAATTTGTTTTCACGTTTAGATTGTTAGTTCTCGTTTTAGTCACCCTTCCCCTGCTCTTCCATTTGATTATTGGCATTTGAGGTTGTGTGTGCCATTACTGGGTGTTAATATGTGCAGTCTCTTTGTAAATTCATCCATTTGTTCTTGAAAGGGTGAAAGGTAGAAATAATTATTTCCTGAAATTCCATAACTAGATTGTGTGCTTCTATTAAAATAATAAAACATAGTTAAGTGTATGCTAGTGTTTGTTCATTCTTCATCAGCATTTCACATCTCATGTTTGTAAATTTTTACGGCTAACTTGTTTTTTTTTTCTTTTTTCAACAAGAGGATACCACCTCTTGTTTATGAAGAAATGCTTCTAAGCTGTTCCACAGGGATTTACTTTAATTTCTGAACTAAATATGCTAACTATTTTCTTGATTGAAACAGGCTGTTGGCAAAGTGCTCCCTGCTTTGAACGGAAAGCTGACTGGTATGGCGTTCCGTGTACCTACTGTTGATGTATCCGTTGTTGATCTTACCGTCAGGCTGGAGAAGGCAGCCACCTATGAGCAGATCAAAGCTGCTATCAAGTAAATAATATCAGGCCCTGTTTTCAAAGTTGTTATGCTCATGTTTCTGATTCTTCCATGTATACTTTGTTTTGCCTTTCATTTCATTCAGCGGCCTTGAAGAGATGTTGTAAGTGGTTTTTAACTAATTTTTTTTAACTCACAGGGAGGAGTCAGAGACCAACCTCAAGGGAATCTTAGGTTATGTTGAAGAAGACTTGGTGTCTACTGACTTTGTGGGTGATAACAGGTATATATACATGGCGCCTGTGTATATTGTTGTATACCTAAAATTACCAGAAAGTTGCTGCAATTACATTGTCTTTTGCTTGCTGTTTGTGACAGGTCTAGCATCTTTGATGCTAAGGCTGGTATTGCTTTAAATGATAACTTTGTAAAGCTTGTTGCGTGGTACGACAATGAATGGGGATACAGGTAAATATTTTTTGTCATATTGAAATGTTGCTTGCATATATTGTTAATTTCAGGGAGTTAAGCCAGGCTACTATTGTTAAAATGCGCATATTATAGAACCAAATTAAAAATTGGGATATTCAAATTGAGAAGTTGTACCATTGAATGTGATGTAATCATGTAACACAAATGTACACTAGCACGAACCGTAGCAGCCCCAGCAGACCATTTGACTGTTGGGGCATCTGTTCACATCCTCAACTTATCAGAACTGTTGTTCATTCTCACTGTTGAGGCATTAAAAAAACATCTCTACGTTTGTCCCGATGGGCTCTTCCTTGCAACCCAACTATTTGAATTGATAGGGTAACGTTTTGTTACTTTTTACTAGCACAATCCAACCGTGCCTCCAATGCCCTAATTCATTTTCTCCAAATTGTATGCATTTGGATCGAGCTCTCTTTGCACCTCTCTTTTTTTGGTAAGCGATCCCGCTCCCAAGTGTAGATTCTCCCTTGACCAACTCTCCACCAACAACAAAAAATTCTCTCGCAGTGCCTTTCCCCGGCGACCCCCGCCCCCCCGCGGTGGCGGCGCCCCGCCGCCCACACATCACACACACAGAAAATGCGAGCCTTCACTATTTCTCGTGCCTCTCATCTCCCGATGAATCTCTCTCCCACGAGTGTTTGATGATAGATATTTTTTTATCTTTAGGTCTCTCCTACTCCACCGCTGCACCTCCTCGATCCGCCGCCTCCACCTTCTCTCATCTCCTCTTTAGGGGCATTTCCCAATTTTCCCTGATTTTTTGAATTTGCAGTGGTTTAAAATTGGCAATAACAAACTTAGCAATAACAATTCCAACATGAATGACTTGTTCCATTTATTTAGATGGTTAATCCGGAAAAAAAAATGAACGAACCATGATATGGTGGAATATGTGCATTTTCGTAAATTGTTCTCTTAGCATCATTCGTGCACTTCTCATTTGTCTTCCTTGTCCAGAAGGACGATCTCCAGTAGTATTGTCAAAAAAAACAGACTCTTACCAATTCCTCTATTTCTCTTAGCATCATTCTTGCACTTCTCATTTGTCTTCCTTGTCCAGAAGGACGATCTCCAGTAGTATTGTCAAAAAGAACAGACTCTTACCAATTCCTCTATTTCTCTTTGAGAAGAAATTAACTTTAAGACTTCTTTAGCGCCATATTATTGTGACGTACAACGTACATATTATTGTTGCCTCAACGTTTCAAACCATTGGTGTTGCGAAGGACTTGTTGGGAGAAATGAAGAGGAGTTTTTAATGCCCCGACAATGGGAACGAGCAACGGTTCTGACCATTGGGGATGCGAACGGTTTCCTCAATTGTTGGAATGGCCCACTGGGGCTACTAATGTCTGAACTAGTGACATTTTTCAGTATTTAAATCCAAAAGATTCGGGTCTATAATATTTTGGGTCTATAATATTTTTGCACCTTGGAAACTATTAATGCTGGTTGTTTTGTGTTTTCTATATTGCAGCACGAGGGTTGTTGATTTGATCACCTACATGGCCAGCGTCCAGTAGATGATTGTCTCTTCATCGTGCCCTACTCTGTGAAGCTGTATGAGTCTGTTTAAGGTTTTTTTTGAGAATAATGACTGGTGATGGGAGAGGTCAGACGTTTTCGTGATTAAAAATCAAAAGTGGGTATCTACCAGGTATCCGCATGTTAATTAGAATATGTTTTTCATGAAGTGGGAAGTTTTTAAGGTCTTGGGTGTTTGCCCTTGAATGTATTTTAACTGAACCATCAACTGGATCTCTAGCAAAATTTACGTTAATCGACTTGTGTCCGTTGCGCGTTTTCTTTGTTGTTTCTGTTGCTGTGGTAGAAGTATGATAACATTGCTTTATTTTCGCGTTCTGTTTAACGTTTTGTTGGGCGTTTTTCTTCTTCTTGGATTTTAGTTATTCTCGTACTTGAGGCGGCTCTTTTTACTCACTCTTACAGTGCCTTTTCTTTTCTCACTTGCAAGGGTCTAAAGTATTTTATTTACGTTAATTTGATTTTATTATCTTTATTCGTTGTTTTAACATTGATCAGACGAGAATTCAGTGCACTATTATTCCATTGCCATGATATCGAGTCATTCTGACATCGCCTTCTTACTCGCATAGGTCTCAGGTATTCTATCGACGTAATGATTTATTTATCTTTATCTGTTTATTTTTTTGATCAGACAAGAATCCAGTGCGCTAATTTCATTGCCACTTTTAATGGAAAAGCTCAAACCTCACTTGCTTATAAATGAATGGCAGAGTAACGCTCAAATTCTTCGTAGTTTCTGATTTAACGCTTACATGTACCCTCACTTGCTTTTTCATAGCAATTATATATTGGTAGGTTTAGTAATAAATTTAACAAATATCAATATTTCAAAAAATCTATAATTAGTGTACATTAACATTTGGGTGACTTCAAATTTGCATGATTGAGAGTACTAATATGTCAATTTTAAACGAGAGAGGATAATAAAGGTTGAGTGAGTGAAACCATAAGGTATCTAAATGTGAAGAAGTATTTGGTAGGGATGGCCCATGACATTAAATATACACTCGAAAGATATTGGATCTGGGTACGAATCTCGAAATCTAATGATCCAATGATTGTCATCATTCAGGTGCATATTTAATGTCATAGCTCTTGGTGCGCTTAATATTTTTCCCTAAATACTACTTACCCTAAATGCTACTTACCCTAAATAAGTTGAGTATTGAGTAGATATATATTCAAATTATTAAAAAAAAAACGTTTTTCTCACCCTAAAAGAAATCAGTTTACATTAATTTCTTTCCTAGCAGTGGAGGATCAAAGATGATCCAAGAATCACGTTCTCTTACTTTTCTAGCAGCGCCTAGCAAATCTCAGCACTGTCGTACATCCATTTGCAGATAGATATTAGATGCGTTATGCTCGTTATTCTAAAGGTGCTGGTTCGCACCTAATCCCTTTTCTTGTCGGAGGGGGAGCACCTGGTTCTGTTTATTACACGTTTAACTGAATCAGTCTGATTCTTTGTTTCATCAAAATTGACTGCCCCCATGGAAATTTCCTTTCCCTTTACATCCCACGCTTTTAAGAGAGAGAGAATTGCCGTAGTTTCGAAGGACATTTCATTTTAATTAAATCATCTTTGTCTCAAACTTCTTGCTAATAAGCAACTTTTGACAAAGACAGCGGGCCTCCATGAACAAATATACTGGTCTCGTATTGGGATTATTATTATTTTTTTTATCGTCACGAAGAAATCAATTCCCAAGAGGTGGTATCAAACTTCGACAATCAAACTGGGAACACATGCAGATGATAAGATGGAAATAGATGAAAGACAATCAAACGGGAACACATACAGAAGACCGATAGATGAATAGAACGAGATGATAATTTGAAAGACCCATCTACGATGTCCATGTAAATCTACTGACCAGTGATAGATTAATAACGTCCTATTCAATCATTAAATCTTACGAAAACTATAAGCTTGTAACAATACATAAGCTAACAATCTAACTTCTTGTTTCAAAAACCCCAAAAAAAGGGCGAATTTTTTTTCACTCCCCCACCCTTCATATAAATATATTACCGTAAAATCTTATTTAAGTGTATCCCTACACCTCACTTGCTGTCTGTAAAATCTGCATCGATAACATCCCCATCCTCGGCTCCTTTGGTAGAAGGCCCAGAAGAAGCAGCATCTGGGCCCGGTGAAGGCCCACCAGCAGCGCCGCCAGGCCCACCAGCACCAGGCTGGTTGTATAGCGACTGCCCAAGTTGCATTACTTCCTGGTTCAATGCAGCCATGGCATCCTTCATGCTTTGTGTGGATTCGCTGGTGATGGCTTCTTTGAGCTCACCGAGCTTTGATTCTACCTTTTGCTTGACTTCGGCAGGGACCTTGTCTCCTAGTTCTTTCAGTTGTTTCTCTGTTTGATAGACGACTGACTCTGCTTGGTTCTTGGTGTCTATTGCATCTCGCTTCTCCTTGTCCTCCTTGGCAAACTTCTCTGCTTCGCTGACCATTCTCTCCACCTGCATTTGCACAAGTTTAAACGAGTTTGTTCTACATTCAGTTAACATTCTCCCCACCTTGGCAAACTTATCATTTCACTATACATGTGAGATTAACGGAAGTTGTGAGGAATTTTGATACACTACAAAACTTATTTCTTGATTGCAGTTGTGTGGCTTGGGGCTGATGCTTATTTCACTTTATTTTTTTATTTTTCATTGTCATCATCACTAATACTGTTTATTTGGTGGCGTATGTGTGTGTCCAGCGTCCCGCGCTGGGGGTGGGGGGGGGGGGTGTGGTGGGGGGGGGGGGTTATTATTATTTATTTATTTTGAGTTGAGGGTGGGTTTAAGCGTTGACATACGGTAAATCCAAGATTCTCCTGATACCCTGACAAGGACCTGACCTAGATTAAGCATGGCACATCATAAAAAGTGAACAAAATCTGATGAAGATGGTCACTTTCTCGTCTGCAGCCACGTGACTAAATGACAACTGGATGTGCCATGTCACAGCAGGAATATAATGGCAAAATTTAAGTTCAGAAAAAAATTGCGTGCATGTGGAACGTAAACAATATAAAGATCTGATAACAGAGTTGAGAAATAAATTACCTCATCGCTGGGTAAGGTACTAGCTCCTGTAATTGTAATGTCTTGCTTCTTCCCTGTGCCCTTATCCACAGCAGAGACCGAGAGAATACCATTGGCATCAATATCAAATTTGACTTCAATCTGTGGAACTCCTCGTGGAGCTGGAGGAATTCCGTCGAGACGGAAACTTCCAAGGGATTTATTGTCCCTCACAAATTCTCTTTCACCCTGTAGAACGCTAATCTCAACACTTGTCTGCCCATCAGCTGCTGTTGAGAAGACCTCAGATTTAGATGTGGGCAGCGTAGTGTTTCTTGGGATGATCTTCGTCATCACCCCACCCAAAGTCTCCAATCCAAGAGAAAGTGGTATCACATCCAGAAGAACAATGTCACTAACATCTCCACTCAACACTCCAGCCTAAAATCAAATAGATAAATAAGAATTTGATATTACTTTGGAAGTAGAGTAAGCAGTTCTTAACACATTTTCATGACAAACACTATCCATTGTAACACAATAATACGTGCCCTGTATTTGAACGTATTATTCTCAGTACAAGGTGTTGCTATAATAGTTGCTAACACATGTAGTAGACAATTTGATTACCAAAAGTGTTCCTTTCTTCAACCAAAAGACAGGTGAGTGTAAAAATATTCTGTAACAGCAGTAGCAAGTTGCAATATCTCGCCTCTTCTATAGTGATTTTCATGGATTTCATGAAATGTATGTTCTCATAAGGAGAAAGGAACCACAGATAAACGAGAAACTGACCTGTACAGCAGCACCAAGTGCAACCACCTCATCAGGGTTCACTGTGACATTTGGGTCTTTCCCAGTCACTTTCTTCACAAGCTCCTGAACTGCTGGGATACGGGTTGATCCACCCACAAGAATCACCTCATCCAAATCTTTAAATGAAAGTTTTGCATCCTTCAAAGCATTGTCCACAGGTCTTCTAAGCCTAAATGCAAGACACAAGAAATGAACATGAGAGCTGAATGCAAATAAATGGAAAAGATAAACATGCTGGATACGTTAACCCAAGTCATACTGTATATATCAGAGTTAGTAAACTGTAAACAACGTAGCAATCTCTTACTTGAATAAACTAATTCAAGGTTTCAACAAAAACGGAAACTAATGCAAACATATTGGCATTAATGTTCTGTACATAATTTGCACAAACTAAGCAACAGTACGCTGCATGCGGACTTGGTACCAAACTAAGCAAAAGTCCATCAATGTGTAGCACATCATGCAAGATGCTAGGAAGCTGTAAAGAATTAGTTTGGCTGTGGCAATGTCAAACAGTTCTAATTAACACAAAGACAGTTGACAAGTCGCCACATAAGCATGTTAGGTTTGTAAACACCAGATTTTGCATTTTAGAAAATCATCACTAAACAGCAAAAGACTGTTCTTGCGCAATCCAAATGGACCTAAAGGGAAAAAACACGAGATTGTACCTATCAAGAAGATCTGAACATAATTCCTCAAATTTGGCCCTTGTGATAGTTGTCTCGATGTGCTTGGGGCCTTCAGCAGTAGCAGTAATAAATGGTAAGCTACAACAAGAGTAGAAAAAATACTTCAGTGCGAGAAAAAGAAGAGTCTATAATACAGATATGGAACCTAATAATATGAAAGGTCAAGGAACCTACCTAATGTTTGTCTGTGTCAAAGATGATAGTTCCATCTTGGCCTTCTCTGCAGTCTCTGTGAGTCTCTGAAGGGCTTGCTTATCTTTCAGGAGATCAATGCCCTCATCTCTCTTGAAGTCTGCAGCTAGCCAATCAACAATTCTCTGCCAAAGAAATGTGTGAACGAGAGTTTCTTACAATGTATAAACTTAAATTTTTACAATGCTCTGGGTACAAGCAGATTGGACTAATTACAATGATCTTCAGAAATAAAAACAAAATAAGGTATGCATGACTATAAAGAGGTCAACATGAAATCTGAAAGGGTCCAACAGCTCAAAGATAAATTCCATTTTGTTTAAAAGCTCATTTGAATCAGAATACACCACAGTTACCGCTAGATGGACATAAGATATAATTATACAAGTAGAAAAAAGAACTCATTACATGGGACTGAGTACTGAACACTGCTGTCAAACATGTGCAAGTGATCATCAACAGAAAGTCTTACAAGGTAAAGAATGTGCAAGTGATCATCATCGGGAAGTCTTAAGTAACACTTGACAAGAAGACACAAAGGCAGGGATACAACACAGACTAACTCGTACAGAAAATAACAGCATTGGTTAAAATTTACAGGTACATAGCCACTGTAATATAGTCGCAATATTCTTCAACATTGTTATGGGTTGGCAAACTCAAAGGCAGTTTCTTTGTCTAAAAAAATAATGTCAAATTGTTTCTAATGCAGAATTTCAGTGCCGATAATGAAGTTGGCACTTGCAAAATGGTTATAAGAAATACATTCAAAAAGATGCCACATGAATTGGAAATTCCAAGTTGACTTCCACTCATTGACATGCTAGATTTGCATGATGTTTAACCACCTCTCAACCATATAAACCTCCAAGGTGTCTTTGCCTTGCAGATGGACAATTTTCAGATTTCAGACAAATGCTTATATGTCCATGCTAATGCCAGAGTACCGGTTATATGTCCATGCAAACGCAGGACCATGAGTTACTATAATCTATCTATATTGTTAACGAAGCACATGTATGATTATTTGTCAAAGGAGATTCAACCAACCTTGTCAAAATCATCACCACCAAGATGTGTGTCCCCAGAGGTAGAGAGCACCTCAAAAACACCATCGCCAACCTCAAGAACTGCAGAATTTCAGAATTCAATCAATTATTGTGCAAAAAATCATACTCAAAAGTGTTAACTTATAAGCTCCCGTAGGAGTTTAATCAGTAGCAATGAAAAGAGTTTAATCAATAGCAATGAAACATACAGAAGCAGCACTCTAGTAGTTATTATGTAGCTAGCATAAATGTGTTTGAATACTTAACCAAAATGAACATCGAAAGCAGACAATTAAAATGTTCACATATAATTCCTACAACTGTCAATATATCTCTTAAACGATGCAAAGCCAAGATACTTTATACCATGAAATATATAGTGTATTCAATCAATTGGCTCCTCAAAGCTCTTCTTTTATTAAAAAAATAGCTACTTTTTTTGGGGGGTATTACAAAGCTCAACCCTGTAAATTCCTTTCAAATTGTTTCTTACTAGAGATAATATATGCACCCAAAACCTGAAGGAAATTTTGTTATTAGTATCATCAACACCTCTGTTGCTCCTCTACGAAGGCTAGATTAACAATAAGCTCCCATTCATAAGCCAATAAAACAAAAGCTCACCAATTGTATAGAGTTGGCACACTGCAAAACTGACTATCGGAGAGATTATTTGAGTAGAAAACAAAACATGGAAATCTAAGATGAAAATTCATTCAATTAATAACCAGTAGCTCAATCAGTTCAATTCATTTAACAGTCAAAGATAGACAATAATTATGCTCGCAAGTGACCCTACACTATTGCTTATCTCCTGTTAACTAACAAAGTTAATGCCATCGAATCAAAACTAAATGACAGCCACTAATCAAATGATATCTACAAATTTTGCACCTATAAAGTCAAGTTTCAGAATTTGTAAGAACGTAGCGAAGACAAACAATTAAAAATAAATACTACCAAATCATATCCTATATAAATTTATAAGGAGATTTAACCAAGTAATGAAATCACGCTCAAGGAACAAATGAAAAAAACTTACAAACTTAGGCATCCATATGCATATATGCATAACTAATTTGTAGTAATTTGGGAAGTGGATGTACATGTATAAGTTAGCTTAGAATTAACTTACAAACATATGTATGCGTACTAATAATTCCTTATGAACATAAATGAACAGGATAATTCTTATAAAACTAATTCAACGATATAGTCAAGCACAACAAACAGAGTGCTGTTTCAATACCTGAAACATCAAATGTTCCGCCTCCTAAGTCAAATACAAGAATGGTTTCATTGCTCTTCTTTTCAAAACCATACGCCAAAGATGCAGCAGTAGGTTCATTAATGATACGAAGAACTTCCAAACCAGCAATACGCCCAGCATCCTTTGTCGCTGTCCTCTGAGAGTCATTGAAGTATGCAGGAACTGTGACCACTGCTTTAGTGACCTTGTCATTTAAAAATTTGGATGCATCATCCACAAGTTTTCTCAGAACCTGAAAACACAATAAGAAAAACAATAAGGGATTACTGACCGCAAGTGTCATAAGTGTCATCCCAGGCATCTGACACAATCCATCAAGTAATATAAGCTTAATTGCACAAAATGGTTAGGGCAAGAAAAATATTCAAATGCAAAAAAACATCAGTCCAAATTGATGCATTTGAGGATATCAATTTATGTTTTTTGGAACTTGTGAATTAAGCATCATTTTCAAAACTAACGGAGACATAAAAGGTAAACATTTTACATTTTCATCTCATATTCTTTCAAAATAAGTGTTTGGAATACAAGAGTTTACAATCCCGATGTGATAAATTGATAATACATGTAACTTTTTGCATTCATATCTTTAAACGATAAGCATGTCCTCGTGTCAGGTTTTGAGAAGGTATCATCGCACATTAAAATGTATTGTTGCAACCAAATGTACCAACTCACACTGGAAATCTCCAAGAGTAACTCCATGAAGTGTATCTGGGTATGAAGTTTATGTTGGTAAACCATAAAACCAAAGAGTTGCACTAATTACAACTCTTGACTAAAAGAATCACATGATTATAGCAGTATTATGGATAACACCTGCTAAACAGCTAAAGTATATAGAGAACTAGACATTGCTAACCAGAAGGGCTGACCTGCAATCTTCTCACTAAGAAAATCCTAAGCACAAAAATCAATGTGAAAGTAAGTTTTGCGAGAAAAAACCCACATAGTCTAAGTATTTTTGTATAACCGCGTGTGACACGGTCTTACAAGGGAACTATTGTTTGAACTCAGAGAAGAAGGAAGAACATATTTTTGAGGGGGGCTCCGGTAACAGGTTAGGGTTTGATATTGTTTCTCTTGTTGTATATCTTCTGAAGGAGATTACTCCTCTTTATATAGGAGCCAGAACCCATTATCTCCACCCCTTCATAACCGCTCCTGAGAGAATTTCTCTCAACAAACCCAATTTCTCTCCACGATCCACAATTCTCTCTACTGAGAATCGTTGATTTGGTCATCTTAGACCAGGTCAAGCTAACATCTCCCACTTGACCAAATCAACCAAGTGATATGCCTCCCACTATCCGTGAGATCAGATGTTTCTGCTTACCATTACTCCCACTATCCGTAGAGAGTAACTCCTATTTCATTATTCATGAAATTTTACTTGGACTTATTTATTCCTAAGTCCCATCAAACTTACATGTTTGATAAAAGATTTCGCTGGTATTCCTTTTGTCAAAGAATCAGCAATCATATCTGTAGTAGGGATATAAGTCACTTTAACTTCTCCCTTTTCTATAATATCTCGAATATAGTGATACTGGATCTCAATATGTTTTCCTTTGGAGCTATTCGCACCACTATTGATTAAGCTAATTGCTGCTTGATTATCACAATAAATATCAATAGGTCCTTCTAACAAATTGAGATCAAGATCAATCAAAAACCGTCTTATCCAGACAACATGTGTAGTTGCCATACTACAAGATATATATTCAGCTTCTTGAGTATATCTAGCAACACACCCTTGTTTCTTGCTACTCCAAGAAACAGCTCCTCCTCCAAAGATAAATAAGTGTCCCGAAGTGGACTTTCCATCATCTTTATCACCTCCGAAATCAGCATCGGAATAACCGAGGAGTTCAAGCGAATCAGCTTGATAAACTAATCTATGAGTCAATGTACCTCTGATATACTTCATAATCCTTTTAACAGCTTCCCAATGTGCTGGTCCTGGATTACTTTGATATCTACTGACTAGACTCACAGCATAAGCTATATCAGGTCTGGTGCACAACATTGCATACATCAAGCTTCCAATTGCTTGAGCATAAGGAACATCTAATGGCTTCTGCCCCTCTCCAGGGCTTTGCTCTTTACATAATCTCTTTCCCATAACCAACGGAGTTGGTGCCGGATTGGAATTCTCCATTCCAAACCTTTTAAGAACTGATCTTAAATATTTTTCTTGGTTTAAACTTAGCATTCTAGACTTTCTATCTCGAATTATTTGAATTCCAAGAATATATGATGCATCTCCCATGTCTTTCATCTCAAACTTTTCGCTGAGATCTGCCTTGGTTTTATTCAACATTTCTATGTCATTTCCAGCGAGCAATATATCATCCACATATAAGGATAATATAGTAAACTTGCTCCCACTTTTCAAGACATATACACAATTATCTAATTTATTTTGAATAAAACCAAGTTTAGTAACTGCATCATGAAATTTGAGATATCATTGTCTAGAAGACTGTTTTAAACCATATAGAGATTTCATCAATTTGTAAACTTTATGTTCCTGTTCTTTCACCTGGAAACCTTCAGGTTGTTGCATATATATTGCTTCCTTCAACTCTCCGTTAAGGAATGCAGTTTTAACATCCATTTGGAATAACTCCAAATCAAGATATGCAACAATAGCCAAAATAATTCTAATGGATGCAAATTTAGCTACAGGAGAATACGTCTCCTGAAAATCTATTCCTGCCTTCTGGTTATAACCTTTGGCAACTAACCGTGCTTTGAATTTATCAATAGATCCATCAACACGATATTTCTTTTTGAGCACCCATTTGGATCCTATGGCTTTTCTATTTTCTGGTAGATCACATAACTCTCATACCTTATTCTTTTCTATGGAATCAAGTTCTTCTCTCATAGATTCTAGCCATGAAGCTGATTCATGCGATTTCATCGCATCAGAAAAGGTTAAGGGATCTTGTTCTTCTATATTTGTATCTACCGAAAAATAGGATGACTCACATGAATACAAATAGTAATCATCCATCCATGAAGGTTGTGTTCTTGCCATTTTGTTGCCTACAATCGATTGATTAGGTACATTATTTTCCATAGATATTTCATCATTTTCAAGGTTAGGTCCATTCACAATATCAGGGTCATTAGTGGGAACAACACTGTAATAATCATCATCTATTACAGTTAGAGGTTCTGTTTCCTCTTGAACTTGTTCCTCTTCCTCTAGATTCTCTAGAAATGTAGCATCTCTGCTTTCAATGACTCATTTTTCTTTATTGTAGAACTTATAACCTTTTGACTTTTCTGAATACCCTATGAATCTACACTTTATTGTTTTAAGATCCAACTTATCTCTAAGTTGATATGGAATGAGAACATGGGCTATAGATCCCCACTTCCTGAGATGACTCAAATTAGGTTTCCTCCCATTCCATAATTCATAAGGTGTAGATATCACTGATTTGGTGGAAATTCTATTTAAAATGTAGTTTGCAGTTAACAATGCTTCTCCCCAAAAGTTTTTAGAGAGACCAGAATGAGACAACATGCATCTAACTATATTTAATAATGTTCTGTTTTTTCTTTCAGCAACACCATTCTGTTGTGGCGTATACGGCATTGTTGTATGCCTTTTAATTCCATGCTGAATACAATAACTTTCAAATTCTTTAGAATTATATTCTCCACCTCTATCAGTTCTCAGAATTTTGATTTTCAATCCAAGTTGGTTTTCAACTTCTGTCTTATATCTCTTAAAGCAGTCAAAAGCTTCTAATTTTCTGGATATAAGATAGACGTGTGCAAACTTGGAATAATCATCTATAAAAGTAATAAAATATTCTTTATTACTATGAGTTTTGACACTTAGGGGACCACAAATATCCGAGTGTATCAACCCTAAAAGTTCATTGGCTCTATGTCCGCCAACAAAAGGTTTTCTAGTCATTTTACCAGTTAAACAATGTTCACATGGTGGCAATTGAACATTAGATAGTGCAGGAAGCAAGTTCATTCTGATAATTTCTTTCATTTTTGAAATACTAGCATGTCCTAGTCTAGAATGCCACAATTCAGATTCAGAAATATAACAGGACAAGTAGTTCAAATTCGAAATTTTATTATCAGAATTATTACAAACTACTGGAAGAATGCATAATTCATGCTCGGGCACATATTTACCCATAGCATACACTTTATTATTCTTGCCTATAGAAACCTTGTTATTATAGAACCTAACTTCTAGTCCTTTCTTCATCAAGCTGGGAACAGAGATCAGATTGCGCCGAATTCCTGGCGCATAGAACACATCTTTGAGGACAAGAATGCTGTCCCCAAGATCCAATCTATACGAACCAATACCTTCTACATCGAGATAGGTATTATTTCTCATATAGATTCTCTGTTCTCCCTTCTTCAGCTCGGTGAATTCTACGACTCCATTCTTGTCCTTTGTGATATGCCTAGTCGCACCGGAGTCGATCCACCAACCAATGATATCCGTCATCACAGCATTACATTCCGTCACATCGACGAATTCTCTTTTGCTAGTACCCCCTTGTTCTGGATGCTTATAGCCTCCTTTATTCTCCTGCTTTTCACCTTGTGGGCAATTGAGATTAAAATGCCCGAACTTTCCACAATTATAGCAGGCTCCGCGGGGTACTTTCTTTCTCTTGAACTGTTGTGATTTCGGTCCTCGCGGTTATGGTTTACTAGGACCAGGATTTTTATAGCTTCCAGTATTATGTCTCTGGCGGACATAATTCAGCTCTTGCTGCACCATATTCAGTTCTGGTTCCTTCCTACTGGCTATTAAGTCTTGTTCTATCGCTAGGTGCATAGGAAGATCAGTGACAGACTTAATGACAGGATTCATTCTTAATGTGGTGGTAGCCACAGCAAGTGAAGGGGAAAGACTATTCAAAATGGTTACCACTTGCATTCTTTTCGGGATTTTGGTCCCAGCAGTGGATAAGTCCTTAGCCATGACAATCATTTTATTTATATGCTCTACGACATTGTCTCCCTCTTGCATACGATAAGAATTATACTTATGCAAGAGTAGTTGGATGTTAACCTCAGAAGCAGTGTCGTATTTTTCTTTTATTGCATTCCACATGTCCATGGAAGTCTTATAAGTTTCAAAAACTTTGATTAAGTTATCTTCCATGAACATGAGCACAAGACTTTTCGCTTTTTTATCTTTCGACTTCCACTGTTCAAACCCTTTCTTTTCTTCAGGTGTAGATTTATCAGTAAGGGTTGGAACAGTGGTTTCGATTATATCATCAATATTGTCATGAATAAGAGCATACCCTATTTTTCTATGCCACATATCATAATTACTGCCATTAAATTTGTCAATTTTTTCTAGTTTTGATAGAACGAGTTTACTAGCCATTCGGTAGAGAACTAAAACTAAATTCAATTTTAAATATTTGTATAAGGTTGATATTTTGACAATAATACTAAATAATAATAAAGTTAGATAATAAATAAATAAATAAATAAAAAAGAACCTGATTGTTCCGAGTTGATGAAAGAAGTTCCAATTTGAGCGAGATTATCACTCAACGGTGTTGATTGGATCAACACTTGTCGAAGATTCGGCGCCGTTTCTGACTAGATTTTGAAGAAGGTCCACTATGTGAAAACCCAACAGCAACCTTGATTTTCTCCTCACGCTCATTGATATCGAACCAACAGCAAGCCTTTTTTTTTTAACAACCCAAAACAGGCCCAACAAGAAAAGGCCCAAGTCCAACAACTTTACAATCCGTAAGCTGGCTCACTTGATCTCAATTTCCTTTTATTATTGCCTCTTCTCCCCCAAAAAATAAATTTCTTTTCTATCTCAAAAATCAACCCAGATCTGATCGCTCAAAAAAAAATTTCGTCTTCACCTTGATCTCAAGCTTCCAATGGCCTCCGATCTCCACTTTCTCGAGCTCCAGCTTCACCTCTGGACTCCGATCTACTTCAGTTGCTGCAGGCTCGTCGTCACCATCGTTGATCGCAGCGGAGTCGTTGTCGTGGTCGTCGATCGCAGCGGAGTCGTTGAGTCGTCTTCGTCGTCGATCGAAGCAATAGAATCACAGCAGAGCCGTCGTCGATCGTCGAGGCAGCCGTTGAGCGAAGCAGTTGTCGTCGACGTTCGAACGCAGAGCTCGAGATAACGACGCTCAGGGAGTTGAGGATCGAAGCGAGCTCTGATACCAGTGTTTGAACTCAGAGAAGAAGGAAGAACATATTTTTGAGGGGGGCTCCGGTAACAGGTTAGGGTTTGATATTGTTTCTTTTGTTGTATATCTTCTGAAGGAGATTACTCCTCTTTATATAGGAGCCAGAACCCATTATCTCCACCCCCCTCATAACCGCTCCTGAGAGAATTTCTCTCAACAAACCCAATTTCTCTCCACGATCCACAATTCTCTCTACTGAGAATCGTTGATTTGGTCATCTTAGACCAGGTCAAGCTAACAACTATGCTATTGCTGATTACTGAATTTCCAAAAAAAAATTTCCCCCAGTTAATGCCACCAAAAGTTAAAATCCAACATAACAATATCATCACCTATTTCAGCAAAAAAATATTTAACTAGGCCTACCCACTGCAGCGCCTATATAAACAAGACCATTGCAAAAGAAATCCGATGAATGCAAGATTCAACATAGTGGCTTTATCCGATCACTATCCTCTCACATTAACAAAATAAAGTGAGCTTTCTAAATGAACTTTCTGCATAGCCATGGCAATAAAATCTTATAAAGAAACTACCATTGATTACCAAACTAAATGATGTTTTTGTTTCATAATATTTAATCAATAAAAATACAAAATTTACACAAGAAGGGAAAGAAATCAACCTGAGCCGAAATCTCCTCAGCCGCAAACTGCTTCCCAATGGCGGGACACTCCAACTTCACATTCCCATTATCATCCTTCACAACTCTATAACTCACCTGCTTCGACTCATCGTCAACCTCCACCATCTTCCTCCCAATAAACCTCTTCACCGAGAAAAAAGTATTCTCCGGGTTCACCACCGCCTGCCTCTTCGCAATCTGACCAACAAGCCGATCCCCATTCTTCGTATACGCAACAACCGACGGCGTCGTCCGCTGCCCCTCGGCGTTCGTCACGATCGTCGGCTTCCCTCCCTCCATCGCCGCCACCGCCGAGTTCGTCGTCCCGAGGTCGATTCCGACGACCTTCTCGTTTACGACGCGGAGAGGTCGGGCTGTGGATCGCCGGAGTCTGAGGTTGGATTTGGAGGGTTTGAAGGAGGAGAAGAAGAGGGAGTTCGAGGAGGAGAAGGGTTTTTTGGAGGAGGGCAGAGGGGAGAACGAGGTGAGGAGCTGGAATTGGGCGGTGGATGCGGACGCCATTTCTAGGGTTTGGGGGATTTGAGGAGGTTTTCGTTGGGAGCTAAAACCCTAACCCTAGAAATTGGGGAGTTTTGAGCAGCGATGAGGGAAGGGATAAGGGAGTGAGAGAAGAAGAAGGTGGAGTTGTTTAAATCGACGAAATGGGATGTTTAGCAAATAACACCTTGATTTCAAGTATTTGCGCAATTAATACAATTATTTTCGTTTCTACCAACTTTTGTCGCAAATTGAGAACGAGTGGCTATGATAAGGACGCGATGCATCTATAAATGAGGGCGACGATGGGGGTAACTTTGCGGTGAGGCGTGATGCGCGTGGGTATTATTGGATCCCCCACAAAGTTTTTGTTTCTTTTTGGGTATAAACAAATGAGTCCACATGCTGTTATTTGAAATTAATTTAATGCCCACGTACTATCAAAACAATCCGTATGAAAACGGTTCTGACCCTCTATGCAAAAATAGGAGAACAAACATAAAATTTGTCCTCATTTCTATTATCAGAACCATCCGCTTGCATGTGAACGGTTTTGATACGATATGCAGTATAATCAAATATAATATAGATTTTATTAGAAGCGTCCGTATACAATCAGTAATACAAGCTATTTGTGTGAGGCTAAAGTGATATGTGCTATTTGTGGAATCAAACTAGGCTAAATAGCACTTATAAATACCTTATAATATCACTCATTTAGCACTTATACACCCTCAGTTATATTTTATAGCATTTATATACCCTGAATTAGTCAAAATTGGCACATTAATACCCTCTACTTTGCAAACATGAATTTTTTTTATCCGAAAGTTCCCGTATAACATTAATGTGTTAATTTAGAGCTTTTGAACCATGAATATCTGCTAAATTACTATTAAAGCAACTCAAATTCCAATTTAAATGTATGCTAATTCTATTTTAAATATCGAACTTGGAAAGATTTAGCAATAAATTCAACAAACTTAATAGATAGAAAGTTATAAAATTAGCATATGAATGCTATATGAGAACTTTTAGATAAAAAATTTCACATTTGGAAAATAGTGTATTAACGTGCAAATTGTGACCAACTCAGTGCCACGAAATACAACCGAGGGTATATAAATGCTCAGAGAGTGAAGCTATAAGGTATTTAAATGCTATTTAGCCTTCAGCTAACTCACTCCTATAAGAATGGGTCTGATAAGAACTAGATGAGAGATTATGATGGATTCATTCAGTTCTCTCTGAAATCTAGCTAATCCCAAACCACCCTCTATTTCTCATTAATAAACAAAATTAACGAAATAATAGTTGCCAGTGAGAATATTATTTAGAAAAAGGGAATTTGAAGCATGAGGGTATAACATTGAATGAGATTTTTTATGAGAGCAAATTATCGATAGAACAAAGCCAACTAAAGAGTCATCTCTTAAGAATAGTTCTGATAAGCACTAGATGAGGGATTATTATGGACTCATTCATTCCTCTCAAAATCTAATCCCGAACCACCCTCTATTTCTCACTAAACGAACGAAGCGATAGTTTATACTAATTTTATTCTCAATTATACTCATCAATTTCACTCGGGTCAATATTTTACTTACTCTCAATTAAGGAGATTTTTTTTTTTGGAATCCATAAGAGAGTCCAGCTGAGTTGGTAAACTGCGTAGTACTTTAAGGTCTCAGGTTCGATTCTCTTAGGAAGCACCCCCATGCCCCGTGGCTTTGATACCCATGATCTGAAGGATCGTAGAGAAGTTCCCTCGCCAAGAAAAAAGAGGGAGATGTTTTTGACTAATTGAGACTGAATTGAAAATGTGAAAGTTCTTCTATTTACAAGTGACTTTCATGTTCACATCAGCAAGCAGGTGAAATGATAAGGCAACTTAGATTTTTTTTAATAAACATATCTAAAGTCACTTAATTAAGAGCGAACCTCATTTTTTAAGCTTTCAAAACGGTTAGATGACAGATGAAAGGATAAGGCAATTTGTATCAACTATGCAAGTGAGTCACTTTGATAATTTTTAGAGGAAGTCAAAATTGCATTAAATTTGATGAGACAACTTATTTACAATTTATTTTCACAAGCACATGCATGTAAATAAATACAAGGTGTGCTAAAAGTGACTAACTTTCTTGCTTTCAATTGTTAAAGTGGTTCACTTTAACAAAAAAAAAATTATTTAGCTTTCATATGACTTAACAAGTTTTAGAGAAAGTCAAAATTACATTAACTTTGATGAGATAACTTATTTGCAATTTATTTTCACAATCACTTGCATGTAAACAAATACATGATCTGTTAAAAGTGACTCACTTTCTTTCAATTTTCACTTATTATATGCAAACAAACGGCCCTTAAGTTCAAAACAACGGTAATACAGGGGTTTATGTGCAGTTAATCCTTGAGTATGTAGATAAAATTTAAAGTATAAAATACAACGGTGGATAAATTTGGCAAACAAGACAAGAGCCATCGAGAAACAATTTGTACCGACTAAGGGCACGAACTTGGCAACTTCCCACGACGTTGGGGTTTTGGGTGTTGATGGTATTAGAATGATTTTCAGAAGTACTATGGCCCTTCAAAAAAATTACACAAATATATTAAACTGATGTGTTTGCAAACTTCAAGAATCTAATGTTGAGAAGGTAATTATGTAATATAAAATTTAATCATTTGAAAAGCATTATAACAAATACAGGGTATGCTAACCAAGAAAAACGAGCAACAATTAACAGATATATATAATAGTACATAATCTCCTGCAGTTCATTAATTTGTTGATCTTGTTTCGCTTCAAACTAAAAAGATATCACAGTACATGATTCCTACCATGCACAGAAGAGTGATCATCAATTTGTAGTCAGAATCAGGACTGTCAACTACGTTGAGATAGAAGCATATCAAAATAATTATTGGAGAAAACTATCCAAAGCTCACCATCACGGACTTAAGGATTAAGAAATACGACATAATTCAAACATAAGAAGAGTTATCAGTCTTCAACAGATGACGTGTTCTTCTAAAAAAAATCTTTTTACGTGGCACCACAAAATCATACTCAAAATTTAAATAAGTAAAAAGGATAATCCAACAGGTGATCTGAGTTTAGATACAGCTAGGGCTGTCCATTTTACCCGGAGCCCGGCCCGGGCCAGGCCGGGTTCCGGGCCCGGGTCCGGGTTGCCTCAGCGGCTCCCGGCCCGCCTTTCCTCCAAATTCCCCCACAAATCCTCTTCAATAGGATGGCGGTGCCACCAAACTATCACGTTAACATCACCATCTGATAGCCTTTTCTCCAAATTCTCCTGCCAATCCTCTTCAAGTAGGATGGCGGGTCCACAAAAACTATCACGTTAACCGTCACCTCTGATAGTCCTTTTCCTCAAATTCCCCACACAATCCTCTTTCAATAGGATGGCGGTCCACCAAAACTATCATGTTAACCGTCACCTCTTGATAGTCCTTTCCTCCAAATTCCGCCCACCAATCCTCTTCAAGTAGGATGGCGGGTCCACAAAACTATCACGTTAACAGTTACCTCTGATAGTCCAAACTCATCAGATTAATGGCATACCAGTGATGTGCCCTATTCTGATTTTATGGATAGTGTGCCCACTACAGGTGATGTGCTTTGTCTATCTCTTTTTATTCCACTGCTAAGTCTTAATCAAGACTGGGGGTTGGTTACTTGGAATCCACTGGATTAAGAGTAACGAATCTTTACATCGTCAAGTTAACATTACACTTCTGACGATCATCACCCAGAGAGTATGAATGCCAGCTGGCATCGCTTCAATTTGTCACGTTAATAATAACCTCTGACATCAACTTATCAATCCTCTTCAATAGGATGATAGGTCCCTCAAAATTGCTCAAAATCGGCAATCCTCCCCAGCGAGAGCGCTAATTCCAAAATCTTATGCAAGTCACAAGAAACCATTCCTGTCAAGTTCAACATCAAACCTCTGACAAAACCACTTATCAATCGCTCGTCATAGGATGATAAGTCCACAAAGTTGCTCCGATTCGCACACCACACCCTGTCACGTTAACAATATACCTCTGACAACAATCCACTTATCAATCCTCGTCAATAGGATGATATCCACAAAGTTGCTCCGGATCGCAACACATTCCTGTCACGTTAACACTAAACCTCTGACAAATTCACTTAATCCCTCTTCAATAAGATGGATAAGTCCACAAAGTTGCTCAATCGCAACACAAATCCTGTCACGTTAACACTAAACCTCTGACAAATTCACTTATCAATCCTCTTCAATAGGATGATAAGTCCACAAAGTTGCTCCAATCGCAACACAAATCATCGTCACGTTAATATCACACCTCTGAAACCAATCCACTTATCGACTCTCTCCAATAGAGCGATAGGTCCTCGAAGTTGCCTGATCGCCAACATCTTCCTGTCACGTTAATATCACACCGGCTGACAAATTCACTTATCATCCTCTTTAATAGGATGATAAGTCCTCAAAGTTGCTCCGATCGCCAAATTCTTGTCATGTTAACCACCATACCTCTGACAATTCCACTTATCAATCCTCGTCAATAGGATGATAAGTCCACAAGTTGCTCCAATCGCAACACCTTCCTGTCACGTTAACATCATACCTCTGACAAAATGCCACTTATCGACCTTCCCAATTAGAGCGATCAGGTCCTCAAAGTTGCTCTGATCGCAACACATTCCTGTCACGTTAATATCGCACCTCTCACAAAACCTACTTATCAATCCTCATCAATAGGATGATAAGTCCACAAAGTTGCTCCAATCGCAACACAATCTTGTCACGTTAATATCAAACACCTTGAAAAAATCAAACTTATTCGACTCGTCAATAGAGCGATAGGTCCTCAAAGTTGCTCCGATCGCAATCACTTTCCACTTATCGACTCTCGTCAAGATGGAGCGATAGGTCCATAAAAATACTGTTAGGTTAACATCACACCTCTAACAGTAAAACCCCCAATGAACTTGTTAATCCTTTTCAACAAGAATAGCAAGTTTTCATTATAAAATCCCCAGTGGATTAAAGATTTTTCTGAAATTATCCCAGTGATAATAAAGAAAATTTCTGAATTTCACTCTAAGTGAAAATTCATGCT